GTTTTTAATGTGAAAAAAGTGATCCTTTGATTTTTAACCAAAGTACTTACTGGCATGCTTTGTATGTTTTGATTAGAGCAAATAAATAATGTTTGAAAGTACAATAAATTTTGTGTACAAAAATTAAAATTCTCAGATTTGGGTATTGCTTTAAAAATAACTTCAGGAAGGGGTTTTTATTTCCCCAGAGGTTTCAGATGACAGACTGAAAAACATTAACTAGCATGAAAATGGAACAAGATGTTTGAATGCAATGGAATCACAGCTTCTGAAATGCCTACAGCTTGTCTCTCAAAGTTTTATTCCTAAATCACTCCAGTGGTTATGGCAATCTCAACCAAACCCTAAGTGTACATACTGGAACTTATTCCCACATAATGCTTTTTCTTGTACTCCACTTCGTCTAAAATCTCTTTTGTCTCTATTTTTTTAAATTAAAAATATATGCGTATATATATTTTTAAGTTCTCCCACATTTACCCTTTGTGGACTCACTATAGTTGTACATAAAACAAGTAATCGATCTCACATTGTAAAGATGTTTAATGAGGCAAACAAAGCTTTCTCATAGAGGCTTCTAACAGTGGGGAAATCAATAACAATTGATAATTCATAATGATTTTTGTAACGGGAAAGTTTTAGTCATCAAAATTCAAGTTTAAGGGTTTTAAGTCAAGAGCTGGTACTTATCTGTTATGTTCATAGGCAGGACTCGAATTATGGACAGCACTTAAAATGCAATTAGACACAATAATCATTTCAAAGAGATAATGCATTTAACACTTCAACTCACCATGACGGTGAGACATTACACTTTACGCAAGTTTTCAGTGGGGGGAAAAAAAGCGTGCATTTTTCAGTTCAAAATTTTTTTAAAAAACAGGTCTATATGTTTTCCTTGTATACCTTATTTTTGCCATACCTAGACTAACAATATGGAAGCACAAATATAAGTATTGGTTTTGTAAGTAAGAAGTAATTCCTATGAAATACTAGAAAATTTCCCCCTTTTTCAAAAAGATTTTTTTTTTTAACTTTATGAACTTTATTAAGTCAGGTCTTGTTAAGCATATCTCTTGAGTATGGAATAATTAATGCATGAAAATCAAACTAAAGACAGGAGTAAAATAGTATTTTCTTCCCTAAAAGAAGAGTGATAACTATTTAAATATTGTTTGTAAAAATCATTCTCAGAAACATGCCACGCTATAAGAAGCATGTGTTTAGTCAGATAAGTCTTCTGCTCACATCACAACGGAACTACTGACCATCAAGGAAAGATCACTTCACAAATTGTTTTAGAATAGCCACCATAGTAATAGCACAGATGTACGACACAGTCCTACAGTTACTGGAACACGGAAAAGATTTTTAAAGATAGTGAAGAAATCTGGGTTCATCTGTGCCAACAGAAACAAAGCAAGTTACAGGCAAGAACTTGTATGCCTATTTCATCTTCGCAGCCACTCCAGAAGAACACTAGAATGAGCTTGAGCATCTACCAGTGCCTGTTTAAAAAAGAAAAAGGAGTCCTTATTTACTATCAAGACTATCACAACACTAAAGGAAACACGAATACTTTGTGGTCGGTGTAGATATGCTGACTTATTGACTCTGGATGCAAATGTGCCTGTCATAGGAAGCCTCTGTTCACACTCTTCTCAAAGGCGAAGTCTTCATTTCACTGGAAGGCAACAGTTTTGTCACAGGTGTTACTGGGTAAAAAACCATCCTTTATCTTCCTGTTGTGTTGTGAAAGCAACAAAAACTAGCACCGTCACATGAAATGATTGATTCTTTAAATACTTTATGTAATAGTCTAGCCTTTATTTATTAGGGCTAACACTACACGGGCTAAACAAATAAGAATTTTTATGTCATAATTCATGTACCTGCTTTTAATTAAGAAATTTCCTTATACTCTCATGCACTGGTAGGTGACTCATCAACTCAGCTTTGTAATGTTACCGTTAATTTGGTAGACTTTCTGATTCATTCTGTATCTTGCTCATTTCTACAATGCTGAGTGGGCCAAGCAGTATTTTCAAGTCTGTCAGCTGCCAGATTCTTAAGGCACAAGATGATTGGTTTCTGAAACAAACACACATTAATTGCATGCTTTTATCTTGTCCCAGTTTTACAATATATTTTTTCAAGCATAACTTACCTTACTTGGCAAGAGTACAAGCACAACTGTCCTGGTAAGAAGATGGTCAGCTGTTATCTAGACAATGCATTTTTCCAACATGTCTCCATCCTTAGAAGGCCTTTTGAAAAGACAGAAATTTCAAGCTGTCTCAAATCACTACTAGTGTTAAACAGAATAGTGAGTTTTCTAATGTCTTAAAAAGAATTAAAAAAAAGAAAAAAACAGGCAGCATTCCTCCTGATAAGAACCTTCAGTGCAGGAAATGTAAATATTCAGATAATTTCTGAACTTAATGCTGCAAGCAACACCAAACCAAGCACATGAATACACTATTTCTTTCACTAAAAATAAAGCCCATTTGTGCACTTCTAACAATGAGAAAGCTTTCATTTCGTCAATGAAATGTGCCTTTGTAGGAAACATTATCCAGGCCACAAGGGGTTACCATCTCTTTTGAGTGTAATTCCTTTTCTAAAGGAAAATTGTTTGGTTGTGAGGGTTTTTTTGTTTTGTTTTTTAAATTCAGCCATCTACTTGAAAATGAAACAAATGTACAGTTAGTGCCCTAGGAGACTAATATGTATAACAAACATTCCATTTGAGTTTCCTTACACAGTCATTCAGCAAAGGCCATTAGAACTTAACATAAAAGGTAGCACCTCCGTAAATACCGCAAGACATAACTAGACCATTACATATAGGAACATAAACTTTTTATGTATAAAAAAACCCCAGGCACATAAAGAGTTCAAGGAAGTTAGCTGGTAAGTTCATGATTCATCAGGAGTAGTCAGCATGGATTCACCAAGGGGAAGTCATGCTTGAGCAACTTGATAAAGTTCTGTGGTGAAATCACTGGCCAGTAAATGAGGGCAGAGCAGCAGACACTGCCTACCTGGACTTTGACACTGTCACCTGCAAGATCCTCACAGACAAACTCTTGATGTATGGGCTGGATGAGCAGATAGTGAGGTGGACTGAAAACTGGCTGAATGGCCAGGCCCAGGGAGCGGTGATCAGTGGAACAAAGTCTAGATGGAGGCCAGTAACAAGCAGTGTACCCCAGGGGTCAATACTGGACCCAGTCCTGTTTAACATCCTCATTAACGACCTGGAGGAGGGGGCAGAGCATACCCTCAGCAAGGCTGCAGTTGACAAAACTGCGAGGAGTGACTGATACACCAGAGGGTCATGCTGCCATCCAGAGAGACCTCTGCAAGCTGGAGAAACAGGCTGACAGGAACCTCATGAAGTTCAAGAAGAAGTGCAAAGCTCTGCACCTGTGGAGGAACAATGCCACACACTGATGCATGCTGGGGCCACCCAGCTGGAAAACACCTTTTGCAGAAAAGGACCTGGGGTCCTGGTGGACACAGAGTTGAACATGACCCAGCAGCATGCCCTTGCCACAAAGAAGGCTCATGGTATCATGGGCTGCATTAGGCAAAGTATCACCAGCAGGCTAGTGGAGGTGATCCTTCTCTTCTACTAAGCGCAGGGGTACTGTGTCCAGTTCTGGGCTTCTCAGCACATGAGACAGACACACCTGAGCGTCCAACGAAAGGCCACAAAGATGATGAAGGGATTGGAGCATCTCTCCTATGAGGAAAGGCTGAGATAGCTGGGACTGTTTAGCTGAGAGAAGGTGGCTTAGGGGGATCTTATCAACATACATAAATTTCTGAAGGGAAAGTGCAAAGAAGATGGAGCCAGGCTCCTGCCAGTGGTGCCCAGTGACAGGACAAGAGGGAATGGGCACAAACTGAAACACAGGAGGTTCCACCCAGACATAAGTGTTGTGGTTTAACCCCAGCTGGCAACTAAGCCCCACACAGCCACTCGCTCACTCCCCCCACAGCAGGATAGGGGAGAGAATTGGAAGCGTAAAAGTGAGAAAATTCGTGGGTTGAGATAAAGACAGTTTAACAGGTAAAGCAAAAGCCACACACACAAGCAAAGCAAAACAAGGAATTAATTCACCGCTTCCCATAGGCAGGCAGGTGTTCAGCCATCTCCAGGAAAGCAGGCCTCCATCACGCGCAACAGTTACTTGGGGAGACAAACGCCATCACTCCAAACATCCCTCCCCTTCCTCCTTCTTTCCCCAACTTTATATGCTGAGCATGACATCATATGGCCTGGAATATCCCCCTGGTCAGTTGGGGTCAGCTGTCCCAGCCGTGTCCCCTCCCAACCTCTTGTGCACCCCCGGCCTCCTCGCTGGTGGGGTGGGGTGAGAAGCAGAAAAGACCTTGGCTCTGTGTGAGCAGTGCTCAGCAGTAACTAAAACATCCCTGTGTTACCAACACTGTTTTCAGCACAAATCCAAAACACAGCCCCTTACTCGCTACTGTGAAGAAAATTAACTCTATCCCAGCCAAAACCAGCACAATAAGGAAATAACGTTTTTCACACTGAGTGTGACTGAGCATTGGAACAGGTTGCCCAGAAAGGTGGAGTCTCCTTCCTTGGAGATACTCAAAAGCCATCTGGACATGGTCCTGGCCAACAGGGTCTAGGTGGCCCTGCTTGAGCAGGGGCGCTGCACAACGACTTCCAGAGGTCCCTTCCAACCTCAACCATTCTCTGTTTCTGTGAAAAAATGAAAACACAGAAGTTTTGAAAAAAGGCAAAGTTTTATTTATTTTTTTTAATATAAAAAGGTCATGAACTGCATAGAAATATGACTTCAGTCATCTTAAAATGTTACTCATCACTCATTTACACTTGGTAATTCCCAGTAACATGGCAGGAAGCAAGACGGGCTAACAATTGTCTACAATGTATGTATTTACATTCAACTGAAGTTATGCATGCACAATAGTATTTTTAAATAAATCAAACACACTGATCCAAATAAAATCTGATTCAAGGTATATTTTAAGTTTATATAAAGTACAAATAAAGTCTTCAAAACTTAACTTCCTTGGATAAGACAAATTTTCATTCATTTAAATTTAAAGATAAGTTAGCTCCAAAAGTAGTAAGAAATGTAAACATCAGATACCATGATAAAAACCTTAAAGAATAACAACTTTGTCATAAAGTGCTGGCATATGCTTTCACCTTTATTTTCCAGATCTTAAAAATAGAATACTAATATAAAAAGACTTTCACAAGCTTCCCAGTTGTAATTTCAGTTCAGTAATATTTTTGCAGAATTTTAAAATGTAATGATTTTATAAACATTCTTTTCTACCTTTATCTGTCACAGCTTTTTGACATTTTCTTCTTTATCTTAAGTGAACTTTTAACTTCTAAGTATCTATAAAATAGTTTCTATTTTTAATTTACCCAGTTCAAATTGGACTCCATGCTGGTGGAAAAAAAACCAAAAGGTTAGATAAGACTCCAACTGGGAAAAGCCAAGGACTTTGAAAAGTAAAGGTATAAGGTACCTGAACACAACCCAACAACTGCCTCCAGCAAAGTCATTTTGTAATTATATTTATTATCAGTATCACTGAAAAAAGTTACATGAGAATTAATACATAGAGGAGACTCAGTGTGGTTCATTTATACCTAGGCATCTGAGCTTCATACATGCTGAATATATCCATTACTTCATTTCAATGAGATTAAGTCTTGGAAAACTTTGACTTCTTCTGCCAAACATAAGCTGAAAGATAATCTTACGTGCCTTACACCTCAGTTGACTTTTCACTTGTCAACATCAGAGTCACCCAAAATAAAGACAACAGTCCTGAATTCCCCCATCCATTTTGGTGATACATTGAAATCCATTTGTAAAAAAACCTGTTTCTTCTTTGTGTGAAGATAGATAAAATACAACCTTTTACCACTCATTATGTTCACCTCTCAATCTCATGTTGTTCCAAAACCTCAATCTCCCTAACTATTGACAAGTCCACAGGCACAACTGAAAAAGATTATCAGATTGTGGTATTTTATTATACAAAACAAAACAAATCCAAATCAAAGACAATTAAGTCTAAGCTCTGAGGAGTGGAAAATCCCAAAAGTATTTTAAAGTGCCATTCACTTTCAAAATATTTATAAGAGTTTTAATACATTCCCTACACAAAAAGACTTCCAGCCTCAGTGTTACGATTAGGATTTTATCTTGTCAGTATTAGTTTCAGGCTGTTAAGGCATGATTGGTATTTCCTCTAAGTCAAAACTTGACATAGCCCTTATTTCCTCAGAGCCTAGAAACAGGAAGTGCAAGGGATATAACTTAAAAAAATAACAAACCCACTAAACAAACCAAATGTAAAGGCTTGAAACAACTATTAAGTAGCTTGTCTTTAAATACTAACACACTGCAGTCCATTTCTCAGAGCAGGCATGAAGCAAAATTATTATGGATAACAATAATTGACAGAAAGATGCACTGCACTTCTACATTAGAGGGGCACAATGAAAAGCTTTTAATTGCAGCTTCACAGGCAAAAAATGGTTATTTCCATTTTTTTCACTTACTACTTTTAACTCTAAAGAGGCTTTCTGTTTTGTTGGGGGTGGGGTGGTTTTGTTGGTTTGTTTTTGCATTGTTTTTCTGTTTTTTTGTTTGGTTGGGTTTTTTTTAAGATGAGGAAGAGGTCCGTACAGGTAGACAATACTATTTCAGAGCTTTTATGAAAGCAAACTAACAAGCTTATCAAATACTCACATCAGCATGGGACCCTCATCCTCTTCAAATGTAACTTACTGATAAGAAGCAAAGAACCACTAGCACAAGGACTGACAATCTACCAGTTTTCTATTCAAGCATTGCAGAGATAATTTCCAACACAGGAAAACCAGAGTATGCATTATAATTCCTAAGTGGACCAGATCTGTAAGGCAGAAACATTTCCTTAACTACTAATGATCCTACAGAGAAAGCAGTTTTCCAAATGGCCCCAACAGATGTATCATATTCCCAAAACATACCAACTTTAGCTTCCATTTAAAGCTATGAGAATGGTCACAAGTAAGCTCAGTAAGTCAGCTAGATTCAGTTTCCCTGCTTAGACCATTTTCTTATTAAGGCTAGTCATAAAAGTGTGCATGTATTCAACCACTGTTTGGCAAAGCTTGAGTTTAAACAAACTCATTTTCGGGTTTTAGTTTGTTCACTCTGGCATAATTTTTAGACTAAAACTTGAAAAGTGCAAAAATATTTAATTACATCTTCTTAAAAAAAATAATTCATTTTATTGGTGCAACCACCCCAATTTCTCAGGAGTTAAATCCATTGCCAGCAATGGATAGAAAAGGAAGCACCAGCATAAAAGAATCAAAGTGCATTTCCAGTATGCCAATGCTGCTTGAATTGGCAAGCCATAATCTTATATTCACCACCGGAATAGATTATGCTAAAGTCATTTTATAAAAGTCTATATTACACATTAACATACGAAGTCTGTCATGAAGTCTTGGGGATACTGCAATGATTCATCAAAACGGAAACGTTTGGAGACTGTACTGCTGTCCTCTGGAATGTTTTCTTTGTCTTCCTTATTGCTAGAGGTACCATTACAATTGGATTTTACATTTCGCTCTTCTGTGCATTTTGTTGTGTGTCCTGGCATCAGAGAAGAGCAACAGGTTTCTTCAGGGCTACACAGGAGTATGAACTCCCCTTGCTGCAACCACAAATGAGAAAGACAGGCCTCTGCTGTGGGTCTTTCCCTTTGAAAGAGAAACGGGTAAAGTTACTTAAGTTAATTTCAGAAATACTAAAAATGTAAAAAAAGAAATCTTAAGCAGAACTGATGCTAAAGAGTTAGTATCACTGTTTTTCCACCACTACCATGGCTGCTACAAAACACATCTGACCCTACCACAGTTAAGGTTAAGTATTTAGCAACATGCATCTACATTTTAATTGAGCTTCCCCTACTACTGAATGTCAGAACTGCTAAGCTTTTCATCAGAACAAGGAACAGGTATTTCTCAGCCAGTATTCATAATCCCTTGGAATGTTTTCAACATTGTGTGTGTATATATATATATATATGTACATGCTTATGCTTTTGAAGTCCTATGTTTTATACACACCATTGTAAATAGGGAGGCTAATGAATATTCAGTCATTAGGTTTTCAAGGAGGGCCAAATAACATGATGTCATCAACTCTATCTGACATTTTGCAGTGTTTTATTCTTCCAACTCATCTGCTGTAAAACCTTCTAAAATGTAGTTACTACCAAACAAACCACAGACTTACAAAATTGTTCCTTTGAATAACCTAGTACAGTAGTGTCACGGGGGGAAATGCACCACCACAAAGGCTACTAGTTTTCATCATGTTCTGCATTGTTAAGTTCTGCAGAACTTGCTGGAAATGCAATAGAGCCCACTACTTGTCCTTAATTCTACCAGAACATGTGATTATTTTTTGGTCAGAGAACGGTAACTTTACACAGTTGACTATCTGAGGACAGATTTTTCCTCTTAAGATTCAAGAAGGTATAGTCACCAAGAATTAGAATGGGAAAAAAAAAAAAGTTATCGAGGATATAATGAAGACTTTGAGATGCCCAGAAGCAAGAAAGCAAGTAGAGTAGGAACTGTGACAGAATGTGAAACATCCTGCAGCTCCACTTCAACATTTATCAAAGCAGGCTCTTGATAATTGCTTTCCTCATGATACTATGGTTTTTGTGAATTATTCCAGAGATTGACAAACCCTCTGTGTGAGATGCTAAAATAGAAAGGACTGTTCAGACATGAGTTTATATGGAGTCCTTATTTCATCCAAGTAGGCACTTCACGGACATCATCTCCCATCGTCCCCTCTGATCAAAAAAACCCTCTTTCTCAACCAAACAACAGGGTCACTCTTGCTTGCTGCAGGGACTACTGTCTCACCACAAATGACAATACCTAGCACTATAACTGATAATACCTGATCATGCCTACTAGAACATTACAAACTGACTTTATTAAGTATTATTTCCCCATATATACCTTTCAGGGTGGTGGGTTTGCGGTTTTGTTTTTTGTTGTTCTTTTTTTTTTTTTTACTGCATTTGCTGGTGCAACAGTTAAAAAAAAATCCAGATTTAAAGCTATACAGGAAGTGCAGGCACAGTTAATCTCTGTAACTCTAAAAGACTATCTTCTCAAAGTTCAGCTACTTTGAAAGGCCTTGATTAGTCTGAACTCCCAAAGAACGCAAAGTTATGGAAGTGTGCCTTACAAACAAGTAGTTTGTACTTTTGATTGAGAACATTTTTTTTAAAGACTGAACATGGCAAAACACTATATATTTCTGAAGAATATATGCTCAGTCAGAAGACTGCCAAGTCTTTATATAAAAATGTTTTAAAGTAGAAAGATACATTAAAGATAAGTCAGGAAACAAGAACGAACTGCATCAGAAAGATTGCATTTTGTCTCTCCAAACCGTGCAATAAAAGGTTAAATTATAGACAAGAATGTGACCTTTCTACAATACATTTCATCAGATTTGTTAATAATCTGTCCTCTGAATGAAAACATAAAGAAATTCAAATTACAAAATACAAACTCAAAGCACAAGCCTGACTACAGTAATAGCCAGTGAACCAAAGATCCTTTTCATACATTATGGAAAAGCATAAACCTACACTTTTAAATATCGAGCTGATAATACCAATGCATTGTGAAATAATACCACTGATATTATCAGTCAGACAACTCCCAAATTAACATTTAGTTTTTCTAGGTGCTTCATGAACATAAAGGATAAGATTCTTGCCTGAAGGGGTTTGTTACTTACTCCGGATTTTTTGTGAGAAGTTTTTGAATGAAGTCTTTGGCAGGCTGTGAAACCGACGAAAACGTTTCTTCTGAGTAATCCACATTAACTTGAGATATATTAAGGTAAGTTTCTTGATTATCAGCTCCCACAAATGGAGATTCTTGTGTCAGCAGCATGTACGAAATTACGCCTATGTTCCTGAGATAAGAACACAACGTATATTCCTACTAGCACACCTAAACAATATACCCCCCCCGTATTTATTGTGCTGCAGATCAAACTTCCTGATGTATGCCACACTCAGAGAATTAGAAACATCATGTGACATCTCAGTTTTATGTCATTCAAGCATGTGCATGTGTGCACATGCACACACAAGGAAAGCTATGCATATATCTCAATGAAGAGATTTTTTCAAATTGCTTACTTTCAATATATGCTTTTCTTCCCATTGAGATTGTTAGGAAAAGCAAATATATCACTTTTACAAAGCCCACTCTTGGATATATTGCAATCCTGGATGATATAACTGCAAAAAGATAGACGTTCTAATTTGCATGTAAATAAAAACCCATCTTTTACTACAATTCTGGATGAAGTTTCAAAGACTGAAATTTAGTCAACCTTCCTGTACAATTGACATCTGAGTTGTGTTACAATATCCTCTTGCTGAGATGTTTTCCCCTAAGAACATGGGTACCACACATCATGTGATTTATTATAAATCTTAGATGGTTTCTTGATGCATAATAAAAATGGTTTTGTGATCTGATATATCGAGCTTTAGTACTCATTACAGTGGGGAAACAGGCAGCTGCTCTGTTTGTCATTCTGACTAGAGCACCAATAGTTCGGTTTTATGTCTTCCCACAAAAGCAGGCAAATAATAAGTGGTTAAAAACCATTCACAAACAGATTTAATTACTATTATGAGTTGAGAATTTCAAAGGAGTAATTAGATCACAGCAACTTTTAAAACTGAATTTTAATTATTTAGATGCTCAAGAAAAGCATATAAGTATTTTATGATTTTAAGGAAACATCTCAAAGCCAGCCTTTACACTAACATAGCTCATGAAATTAACAGGCTACAAAGGTATACTTAATAAAGTTGTGGATCAGTTTAAGATACTTGTCTCATTTTTAATGGCTCGTTCTGCAGATAATACTCTAAAGATAAGAAGTACAAAGTTAGAATACTTCTTATCATTTGTATAATAAAATTATTTAATGATATAAAAGTGGAGAGAGAGGAGTGTCCAAGAGTAGTTAATAACTGAAGCATGTCATCCAACAGTAACTACTACCTAAAGATTGCTATCCAATCATTGTTATCATTCCCTTAGAACAAATACCTATACTCTGCATGGTCAGACGTCACCTGCATTCCCTACTAGGTGTGCAACAGACCCATATACAGTAGTTCCCGTAAGCCCCAAGTTATATCCTGAGGGGTCCTTCCCCTCCCAACTCTCCCTCTTTTGGTCAGCCTACCAACAGAAGGGTATTCTTGGAAGCCAGATAAAACTGCATCAGAGTCTGGATCTGGCCCCTAGATTGGTAAGTGGTCACGACTACCTCAATAAAATGAATTAACCTATACAACCTACCACATATCTGTAGCTGTGGTAATAGGATCGTAGTTTAAGATTTCTGGAGCTAGAGAAAGAGATGGGGAAGAGAAGAACACTTTAATAGATATATTATTCAAGTGGCCTTGCATCATACACAACGTTTCTGGCAGATTTTTTTGCCAATCATTATTATGAGACTAAACATGCAGTTTCAATAACCAAGTTTATTCTGTTCAAGGCACAAGGGTGGAAAAAAGTTATTTCTATTTGATTAGACACACCAATGCTTAATTGGTTCACGCTAAAATGGCACTATATGGCCTAAAGTCTATTCTATCCAAGTCCCAAGATATTTTCTTATCAGATGCACGCACATGAAAGATTTTTCTAAGAGGTTTTCAAGTATATAGCTTTTTAAGGGGAATGCATAAAGCCTTCAGCATGTTAGCACTGCAAAGCCAGATAACCAAGCCAATTTTAGGATCGGTGGCTGTTAGCATATGCTAGATAGCAAATTATTCACTACAGAATGAAGCGCTCTTAAAATTTAGTGTAGGCAAATCATTAAGGAATCCTGCTCCTCAGAGAGGGCCAAGTGTTAATGGCAATCTTTCCCTTTCCAAGGAATATTTTAATCTCATTAAATCATCATACTAAAAGGCATTCCTAATTCAAAGAACATTTCTTTTTGCATGCTAATGTTAAATTCTTGTGATTAGAGTTGAAATGCAACAGCCAAAATTTCTTGTTAAATCAACAAGCTGCATCACAGCAAATATTATAGCATGAAATCAAAGGTGCACCTATTGGTATAATTTGGGATTTTCTTTGGGTGCAAATATTTGTTGACTACACTAAAAAAAAAGAGCAGCTCAAAACACGTTGCCTTGACCAGATGTTCTTTCTCCAGTCATGACTGACAAATTGATGTGCATTACATGAACTGTTTCTGTTTTCTCAAAACCACACATCAGAAATTGTGCAAGCAACTCTTCCATACCTAGATACTCTGTTGTTCCCATGATCTGGCGAAGTTCACTACAATTCTCAAGCTTCCGAGACATACCAAAATCTACAATTTTTACATCACCAAGAGGATTGACACTGCTGAGCAAAATATTTTGAGGCTAGAAGAGAAAAGATTTAATTCTCAATTAATAAAATACAAGCCACAAAAAATCCCAATGTACTAAATGACATTTCAGCTTCTATTATGCAATGCTTATTGCTAAATTTTATTTTTAAAAATTATTTAATCTCTAATACCTAATCTTTTTCTCCTCATTTTTGTTATGTATTTAACAAATGACTTTGATTATCATAATACTAAATTGAAGATAAGGTACTAAAACAAAAAGTCTGCTGCAGCCTCACCTTTAAATCAAGATGAACAATATTGTTTTCATGCAAGCAGCAAAGTCCTTCAAGTATTTGTCTTATAAGTCTTACAATATCCCTTTCACCAATTCTGTCATCCAGATCTGGGACACACAAGTCAAATATTTCTCCTCCAGCAGCACTGAAACACATTTGAGAACACTTATGTATTAAGTTTGAATTTTCAAGCTTAAGTGAGGAAAAAATTTATACATAGTACCTATTTACATAATATATATTCATATTCTCAGAGAGGCTGTGAATATTGTTATTACTATTTTTCCTTTTTTTTAAACACACACTTATGCCAAGACACATCATATAAGCACTTAGAAAAGAAAAAAAAAATCTGATGATGCTTTTTCTTTCCTCATAGCTGGCAACAGCAGTTGAGGCAGTGAAACAGAACTTTGTGGCTGATAACCTCATAATGCTTTGGTACCCTCAAGCATGCTTTCCTCTAAGTGAGTGTGAAGATGCCTTCAGGAAGATGAGTTCTATCATCCTTCCCTTCTCAAGTCAAATCTAAGATTTCTTCCATTAGACCAGTTCCATAAATAATTCAAATTAAGAAAGCCCAGCAGTATTCCTATACTCTGAATTTGGGAGTAAAAATTATCTTTTTTTACATGATGAGGCTGTGGTATAAACGTAAGAACTACAATGCAATGAACAGCTAGAGCTACTGAAGAGTATTCTAGAGTGGGAGGAAACTGCATACTTGCCACCCTAGGTCCTGCCATACTGATGGAAGACTAAAAATCAGAGAGGTACCAGGAAGAAAATCTAGCATTCTGCTGCTGATTAAATATACAGCTGCCTAGTCAGTTAGTGAGCAGTATCTTCCAGAACTCTAGTAGACACAGAATATTCAGAAATACAAGGACTCGGCTCTGTCACTTTCACATCGACCATTTCCACACTAACAACAAAGATGAGATTGACAAGCTTCATGATTTCACACAGCATCTCAAATATATTTTCCTCAGAAAAAGGCTGTTGTTTACTTACAGAAAACCCTACTATTAGTACAGCATAAAGGAAGCATGGAAATAACCGTGTTGCATGTGGTTTATTAGTTACACTTCTACACTTTGCCACAGCGTCAGCTGTTTCCTTTCGTGCTGGATTTGAAATCATTATTCAGCCTGTTCTAACTGCCTGAAGTTTCTCTCTCAAGTATAAACAGCTACCTCAAAACTACAGATCAGGAAGCCTGAATTTCATCATTAGCAAAATGACAACATCTAAAAAAATGTTAGATAATGGACAACATGGACAAACACAGTCACTAACCTGCTGGAGCTATGCGAGGTGCCAGTAATACCTCCCCTAGTTGCCTTTATGACAAAACATAGATGAGGGGAAGAGCAGTGGATGTCATTTACTTAAACTAGGTTTTCAACACTGTCTCCCACAGTATTCTTGTATCCAAGTTACTACATTATGGTCTGGATGGGTGGACACCTGGATGAGTAAAGAGCTGAACAGCTCTGCTGAAAAGGATTTGGGAGTCCTCACAGACAGCGAGCTCAATGCAGCAAAGAAGGTGAGCACCACTTTGGGCTGTAACAACAGAAGCACAGCCAGCAGGCTGAGCAAGTGACTCTACCCAGCACCCTAGACCACAGCTACAACGCAGCATCCTGTTTTTGGCTCCCCAGTTCAAGGAAGACATTAACAAGCAAGTTCAGCACCAACTGAGAAAGCAAGTAAAAGAGCACCAGATGACCTGTACCATACATAAATGTAAGATATCTTCAGAAAAATAACCTAATGAAATCCTACACAAGGCCAAACTTTGAACTGGCAGGTACAGCTCAGGAAATTTTGATTGACAGCTCTTTGAAATAAATGGACTGATGTGCAGAGCAGTCAAAACAAAAGCCAACATACATGGCTATCATCAGGAGGGCTACTGGGAACAAAATGCAGCAAAATGATGCTCAGTATAAAACCATAGCATGTAGTTCTCGTTTCTGTATCTTCAAGAAGCATGTAAGATCAGTGAAGATACAGACAAGAGCAAGTAAGAGGAGAGACAGCTGCTTTACAAGAAACCAAAGAGAAACCATTCAGTTTGGATAGAAGATTGTGGGGGAGTCTATGAATGCAGCTTACAAAAACACTCAAGCTGGTTTATGGATGAACAAAGAACTGTTATTCACCAAACCCCACAGTATGAGAACTAGGAGGCACCTGATGAAACTAGCCGATTAGTTTAAAACAGGTACAACAAAGTATTTCTTCACACAGCAGGTAATGAACATCTGGAATTTACTACCACCGAAGTAGACTGTATCACCAGGTTCAAAAAAAGGACAAAACAGATTCGCAGACTACAGGTCCATAAACAGATACTAAAAGGAACAGGCGGAGAGGTACCCTTGGTACAATACCTCTGGTTGCTGGGACAGTGCAAAGAGAGTGGACAGGCTCGTACACTCCTTAGCTCTTCCTAAATAGCAACTCCCTATAGCCATTGCTGGAAACAGCAACAGATTAGACAGACCCTTGATCTGACTCTGTAGAGCTTAGTTCTTCAAGGAGCAAAACTAGATAGATTTGAAAATTAGTACAGCTGTAAAATGAGTTAGTACAGCTGCCAGGTTTCTCTCTGAATATTCCTCCAATTACCTTTGACCCTCAGATTAGAAGAGTAACAACCTCCATTGCAGGGCTTTTGAAAAAGTATTCACATCTTTAGTAATTCCCTCTACAAAGATGGCCTTATTAAGAACTAGCAACCATTTCTCTCCTTTATTTACAAAATGTGCACTTACACGAACTGATTCTTACTACTACATCTTCCAAAGAACGCCACCAATACAATCCAACAACAGTGAGGACCATATATAGGAAGAAAAATACAGCTAAATAGGAAATGCCTATCAACTATTTTATGAGTAAGAGATTCATTTCTTGCAATTCTTTTGAAGTACTGCTTCAGAGTTCTGATAATGAGAAACAAACAAACAAAGAATTATCTGTGTATTCTGCTACAGAAGGACACAATTTAAAAGCGCGTTCAGCCCTCTGCTTATCCCAACAGAACTAGGAATGCTTACTGCAAGACTTCTGAACACTACTACAAGGTAGACCATTAACACCAATGTAGTGTGAGGAAGTTGCTTATTAAAGCTCTGTAATGAAACAAGACAGTTAGCTGAGCTGAAACAGAAGCTGGAAAATCAGTATGGCTTTTACATGAGCTTGCACTTGTTCTTGATAAGAAGTTCAAAACTTGTCATCTGGACTTTGTCTTTACTTCTACATTATTTAATATTTTAGCCTTCTCAGAACATCAAATAATATGTTACAGATCATCTAGTTCCAGGAAAAAAGCTTTTTTTTTTTTTTTTTTAAAGATTATCTAGCTACATTCTTTGGAAAATTTGAAGGAATTTATCATGGTGCGTGCAGACCACCATTAACAGCTCTTCAAATACTTTGTACATGAAACTTCAATCCTAGAGATTCTGAATTAATTTCACAAACTGCATTTTTGTTCTTTATATTCCAAACAAAACTTTACACATACAGATAATTCAAATTCAAGTTGAATTCCCAAATTAGAGTTGTTTTCAGAGCTAATGAGAAGGCACAGGGACATCTAAAAAGATATGGGAATTGTGGAGGAAACAGCTTCAAAAGCCAAACAGTTTCAAAACAAAACCACCAAATTTAGAAGCTCAGAACCCGCAAAGGAATTGCAAGTTTTCAGTCACCAGAAAGGATGAAGCGGTGACTGAAGCTCACAGAACATGGATGAGCTCAGCTTCTCTGAAATCTGTGTACTTGGTATCAGTGGCTACTATTATTTTTTTTTATTTTGTATGATTTAAGATGCATCAAAGCACTATGCACTTTCTATGGGATTCAAGAACATTCTCTCTGATCAGCTTGCACGAAAAATTCTTTAAGGGGGAAAAAGAACCCCAAAACAAAGGCCCTAAAGTTTGTATTCAGGTTTTATATTAGGTTAGCCTAACCTGAAAATTGATCAGAGCTTCTCTTACAAAAATCCAACTAGCAGAAGAAATAACCTGCTCAAATTAAACAGGCAAGTTTTAACCAAAATTACCCTCCAGAGATAAAGGCACAAAAAATATTTCAATTTGAAATTGAGTGAAATTGTCTATGAAACTGAATTATGCATTGAGAAGAAAGAAGAATCTCTTTTTATTTTTTGATAGCTTTTTGTAAAAAAATTATAAAAATCTTGCAGTCTGTTTTTTTAAAATTGAGTACAGAACTACTGTAAGTTTTAGTGTATTTTGGTTTATGTCTTATTCCATATTGTTTGACATAACTCATTAGCTGTGGACGTAACAAAACACATGTACAAAACCAAAGATTCAAATTAACACCAACTGATTCGACTCTTGTATTTACATGAGAATAATTCATACCAAAAAAGTCCCTAAGAGCTTATGAAGTATATCATAATGAAATATTAGCATAATGCATACAGTGTACTGTTGTAATTCTTCTGGGTGTTCAGGCAACTCATACAAAAACTAGCATATAGACAGATTTGTAACTACAAATGTGGAACATCTGATGAAGGCATACTTACTATTCCAACACTAAAATGATGTCATTTGCTGTTTCATAGACTTCATGGAGATTAACTATGCGAGGATTAGATTTCATTAATTCAAGCACAGCAATTTCGTGAAGAATCTCTGCTTTGCAGTCTTGGCCTCTTCTTCTTTTCTTCAAAAATTTAGCTGCATACTCTTGGCCTGTGGATTTAGCTATACATTTTCTAACCACAGCACATCTTCCTCTACAAAATAAAAGGGAAAACATTAAGACCGAAGAAGTATGTAAATTGCCATTAGAAATAAAAAGGCACAGCAAATAATTGGAAACTAAAAAAAAAAATTACCAGGGGAATGCCATGTTTGGCCTGTTCTTACACTATTCCCCAAACATTCACTTTCAGCCACTGTAGGAGAAAGGATACTAAGCTAGATGAACCTTTGGCAAGACCCAATACAATTCCCTTTATGCAGACTAGCTAAACATTAAATCAGAGTATCAGGTTACATGGACATTCTCACTGTAAGATAACAGAGTCATAGAATAACTTGGGTTGGAAGGGACTTCTGGAGGTCTCTAGCAAAACATTCTGGTTAAAGCAAGGCCAGCTACAAGATGCTACCAAGCTGCTCAGGGCTTTGTTCAGGTTGGCAATATTGTATTAAAAAAAACTCAACCACATTATAGCACCTACAGGATAAAGTAATAAACAAAGCAAAACCCTGTGAAATATAGAGAATGAACACAGACTATAAAGCATATTTGTATGCTGGGGTAGGGGGGAAGGTCTTCAGTGCAGAAAATTTTAGATTCATAAAGAGAATTTCCCTCCACAAATCATGTAGTACTGCTAAAAAAAAAAAAAAGAAACAGGTATCTGCAAAATGTTTAAAAACATCTTAACAGAAAAACACCAACTACTTAGCATTCTCTCTCTCAATTACAGTTAGACAATGTGTGTTGCTTTATTTCCTAGCCAACTGTTTAGGTATGGAAACAAAAATGTATTTTGGCAAAGAAATGTTTTTAAAAGAAAACCACATACTGTAGTTAAAACACCAAGCTGACCTTTTAAAAAATTAGGGGAAAAAATGCAGTTTTTTAAGCCAAGTTATAAACTCCTGAAAAAACAAAGTTTTATAATCACAAGTTTTGCATTCCCAGAAATGGCTAGTTGCATATTTGCAAAGTGTTTTCAAATGATACAAGAAACATTATTTAAAAAAAAAAACACACACAAACCAACTTGAAGGGCTAAAATAGTGTAACGTTCTAAAAACAGTTATAAAACCATGTACAAAGAATGAGATCTACACTTATGTCTTCGAAAAAAACCAACGCCTTTCCATGCATGTTTTTTGTTACCACAGCATACTAAGAACAAACTTAAATGAAGAAGCCCAGTACGAGCTATCTGAACTGTGCTTTCTGAACTAAATTAGCTTCTTTTGTAGAAAAGACTTATGTTGCCCTGCAGGCTTTGCCTTTCTTCTGGTGCAAAAACCCCAATGCCTAAAAGGAACATCTCTTAAAAAAACCAACAAAACAAAACAAGGCATGTCTGAGGCTTTTTGAAAAAATTTAGACTTCAGTATTTCATCAAAAAATGTACGAGCATCTCATGAAAAATCAGACTTCCATTTGCAAATAACCATGTTAAGTACAGTTTGTACAAATCTGGCTGAATTATTAAACATGTGAAGTTGACCATTAATCATACTGCTATCACTTATTCAGAAATCAACAAAACAGCTTCTCCACATCATCTACTTCAACATCAATTAGTTGTAGGATTTCTTTGTCCTTTTTTTAAAGCGCTACATTTAGAAAAGTAATAGTAGAAAACTCAAAAGAAAAATTAAAGAGGCAAAAGTTATTTACAGTTTGATACTTGCACACTCTTCATTTTAGCAACTATTTGTAAGCCTGAAATGGCCAAGTCCTTCCCCAATTGTTAAACCAGCCTATTACTGCAGAGCATTTTAAGTTATTGAGCTAAATTTCGTAATATACCAAAGTTTAAGATACTCCCTCCCTCCCAGTTTACATTCTCATTTTAACATCACATCACCTTGTCAACCACAAAAGTTTCTCTGAAATCGAAAAGGGGAACTGTTTCAGTTTCATGAGAACAGCAAGATCTTCCCTGATAGCTTTTGCACATCTTCCTTCTAGTTGCTGCGGGTGTAACAGCTTTGAAGGGTCAGTGGTATCTCGAGATTGATGATGTAAGAATTTCCACTTGTTTATACTGTATTTGTACTATGCCAATTATTAAGACAAAATTATTAAGACAAAAATTGTTTTAGAGCAGTGGAATTTCTCCAGAAATGCAAGAAAAGTCACATCTGAAGTGCTGCACCAAAGCAAGCAAAGTGGTTCCCACTCCTTGCTGCCTGCAAAGCAACTGCTTAACCATCACATTTTACAGCCCAGTTTTACAAGATAAGAACTGATTTCGAGTTGTTTTCATATCCCAAGTTATGAACCACAGAAATTCAGCTACGCCAAGCCATCCACACACTGGGGACAAAACTACTTAACCCACTAAACAGAACCTGCCAGCTTCAGTGAGTCAGTGTCTTAAATACCAAAGGACTAAAAGATAAAGGTGTGGGAGGAAGAAATCGGACTTGGGAAGCTTAAGAAGAGAAGAAAAAAAGAACCATTTACTAAGTAACCTGAAGAGGAAGAAGAAAATTGCAAGTGAAAAGAAAAGTATATTAAATCTTTTAGAGAAGCTACAAAGAAAGGTGGATTTTACATCACTTAGGAAGTGTTGTAAACACTTCCTACATTAAAAAAAAAAAAAAAAATGCACACAATGTTAGGCCAGGAAAAGTCAAAAGTATGTTTGTATGTTTGGAAAACATACCTACGCTTCTGTTTCTTTGCATCTTGGCACTTATTTTGTTATGCCTGGTTTTGCATGTACAGAAAGTATTAAAGACTGTGTTTTGGAATCCACACAAAATCTATACTTTTGTTTGCTTTAGCCATCATCTCACCGGTATGTACAATTTGAAAATCCAACGTGTTAAGAATACTGGAGTTCTAGAGGATGGTGCATATAAATTACTTCTGTCAAGCCTAGAATTCAAAACTAGAGCTGACAAAGGAGTAAGAAAAGAGTAATGTTATGGGCTGCAAGGTGCACTTTTATAAAAGTGTACCAGATAAAGCACATGCTAGGAAAAAAAACACAAACCAAAACAAGAGAACAATGAAAGCCAAAGAGCTTACAAAATCACATGCAGAAGAGCATCTTTGCTGACAAAACAAGTTGCAGGTGCAAAAGATCACTATGTAGCACAGCAAGGCACAACAACTGTAAAACTGACCCATGCCACTTCTGTTCAAGGAGCTTGGAAACATGACCAGAGCATTAGATTTGCATGGCTTTATACCCAGTTCACTGAATATTTTCAAGGTATGAATTAACACAGTGATTTCAAAAAAGAATTCAGATGTCTGAAACAGTATCATAAGTGCCAAGGGTTTTTTTAATATTTTTTTTTATTTCCTATTTTACTGCTGCAAACATGAGCAAGGGAAGCAGGCCACAAAACTACCCTGAAACAGCAGGTTGTTAGAAACTTAGGCTAACTGCTTGAGGGTGGGAGGGGAAGAGAAAAAGGTCTTTGTTTTCTGGACTTCAAAAAACTCAACCAAACAACAGGAACAACCAACTCAAAAATCCCCATTCTTTGTCTTGCAGTATTACCCTATGTCATCTCTTCTTTAGTTTATGTACCTGGAATGTGATGTGTGACTAGACAGGGGAAATGGAAGAAAAGGAACATAATCCCAGATCTACATGACTATGAAAACAGGCTAAATCCCTCTGACATGGAAAAGGCTGGCAACTTATGTCTCACTGTACCTTCTCCTGGTCCCTAGAGAACCCGTTGGATACTGCAAAGAAGGGGGTGGCGAAGGAGTGAGGCATACTTCACTCCTCATCTACTACCATAAAAGTTTGCCAGAAAAGGTCTATCATTGCACAAATTCTCCTGCAGCAGAAATTCCTCTTACTAAAATAAAATAAATAGGAATAATCTTACCTTCCTAGCTCTTTTGATTCAAGCATATAAAAATTGTGGAAATTGTCTGTCTTGATTTGTGTCTGCAGAGATGTGGCTAACAAGCCAGAAAAGCTTTTATTCTCCAACTTTCTCCTCGACATAGTCAGGAACAGGTCTCTCTCTTCTACCAGTCACCTATTAAAGCAAACCAATTATGAGTTTTGGAAGTTCCAGAATTACAGCACAGGAAAGCATACAAATACTAGAAGTTTAGGTCTGTCAGACTAGAATAGCCTTAAGTTTGTTCAGTAGTGACCTGAAAACAACATAATTAATCACCATAAAATAAAAGCTGAAAGGAACACTAATCAAGACATGCTAAGAAAATTAACTGAAAGAGGGTTTGGGGTTTTTTATTTAAAAAATTTAACAGCTGAGATAAGTTGGGCTTTTCCCTCCTGGAGCACATCCGTAAGATATTAGGGATAAGCTTCAGTTCTAGTCAAAATGCTGATAACTACTTAACTATTAATCACATCTACTTTTTGTTGTTGTTGTTTTTAAGCCTTCTGAAAATAAGCTTTAACTCTTCTTTGGATTCTGGGTAAGTTCCAGCAACTCCCTTAAGTTTACACTTTTAACTGGTATCCTTGGGGGACTTAACCAGAACTCCTTCCTGTTTGTTGTCTGCAACACAGCAGGAATAACTAACCATGTTTTTTTTTCCAGTGGGAAGATTCACATTTCTTATTAAACTTACTCATAGCTCATCCAAGTTTCATTTTAATGCTTGACTAATTGTCAGAATGCAGCATGAATGGACAACATCCTCTTTGCAAGTTCAGATCATTTAGAACCAAATGATGCAGTAAACCTGATTAAATTGCCTTAATAAACTAGTAGAACAGCACATTATGAAGATACACACACCCACATTATTTCTACTACTGTTAAAAAAAAAGCCAAACAGTAAAAATATTGGGGTTTGGCATTTACATTTATAGGCCTGAAGCATCTCTTCAGGTGAAATGCAAAAGCAAGGCAAAAGAAGGTTACTAAAGGATAACAGAAGTCTTAATTGATGGTTTATTAGTTAAAGAGTAGGTTTACCTTTAGTAGTGAAGGAAAAAAAAAATCAAAAGGCAAATTTCAGTTCAGATATAGTTAAATTTACAAATACACTTTCAGTTTTCAAATGACAGAAGTGTACTATCAGAGACTTCTGGAGGAGCACTTGAACTAGTTACGATTCAAATATAATCCAGGATCCGTCAAACATTGTTCAAATTACCAGGTTTTGGAACATGGATATTCCTATTGGAACTATTTGAATTTAAATCATGATTCACACTTTCGCAGGAAAAAAAGTACTGCACGGTTTAAGAATACCTTCAAAGCTTCATTTGATAAGCATGAAAGAGCTTCTTAAAAAATTATCAAGGGGTCACAGTACAATCTAACATACAAGTCTTTCAATCACCTTGTTTCTAACAAACATGCATTGCTTTTTTTCCCGATTATATCACAGCTGATCATTTAAGAGACTGATTCAGATGGCTGAAATTGTACATGACTCTCCTTAGGGCTGTATTCACCAAATACAGTTTAACGGTTAAAGTTATCTTGTTACTGTAGTACTTCAGCACAAAAAGATTTATTTATATTAGACAATTGACCTAACTGCCTAAGAGCTTACTATTATCAATTTATTATGTAAGCTTTCATTCCCTATCATTATTCTTAAAGAGTCATTACTAAGGAGAACGTTTGTCTTATGTTGAATTAACTTTGTTCTCTGGTAAGACATCACATCTCCTCTTTTTAGTTTAGCATCATCAAGAATACAGAAAAAAATATATTCATAGCAGGCAGCAACTCACAAACAGGCGCATAATCTATTCAGGAGAATGAGATCCAATTTCATATCCAATTAGCTATGAAAAAAGGCACAGCTTCTAATACATTAATTATTTCCAAAATTAAAAGGGACACCTGCATTGTTACACATTACACCAAAAGCCCTGCGTAGCAGATATTAGAAGTATGGATCTCAAATCTGCGAGCTTCCCATTAGAGAAAAAACTTCCCACTAAACTATCTTTAACTGGGTAAAAAAGGTCACTTCGTTTAACTACTCCCAAAAAAGTCAAGTCCCTGCTCCGGCTAGGAAGACGTTCAGCACAGAAGGACCACTGACGAGCAGCACCAGGACACTAGCCGACAGGGCAGGGTCCGCACCTCCCTCGCCGGCGACGGCTGGCGGGAGGCGGGCACCCGGCGCCCCGCCGGGGCC